TCTCTGTCCCTTTGCCTTTCTGGTTGTGATGAAGCTCTGTGTTAGCTGGTGGTCCAGACTTCAGGCTTGACTTTGCTGCCTTTTTCCCTGAAGGCTTTTAAAACAAGGCAAAGACAAAATACTTTATTTAATACATAAGAAAGAAGAAGGCAAGAACAAAGTTATTACATTTAAGCAGCATGAGCAGGATTACAAGATTATGCATGGCTAACACTGACTATTTAAATAGAAAAAATGGTTTACTGGCTATCTTTGAAAAACATTTTGTCCTGCAGCGTCCCCCCATTCCTTTTCAGTGTCAGTTTGGGTGTCCACTAGTAGCCCCTATCTCCATACACTGTTGGAGGTTTAAAATGATCTTAGAATGGTTATAAATATGTTCACCTTATCCTACGTGGGTGTTAATGTAGCAAGAGATATTTACACTTGGCGGGCTCTAGAGGCCCAGACAGCTGTGGTAATACATGCTATAGAATGAAATGTCTCAAGAGTTTGGTACAGGATGCAGCCCAAGCATGTGAACACTATGTGGTCCCTAACAGAACTGTCTTAACACCCTAATGTAACAAGCCTGGTGGTCGGGTTCTCACGGTCACTGGACCAGTATTCCCCTGACCACCAGTTGGCAGTATGGGGCAAACTGCTGCTTGGTACCACACTACACCAGGACAAGCCACATATAGGTGAGATTTGTGCTTTAATGGAAGCATTTTCAAACATCATCATTTACTTTGAAGGTGGTGACTACGTGGTTTGTTTGCCCACCTACACTTATCATGCAGCCATCTCCTGACTATTTACCGAACAGGACTACTGGTCAAAAAGAGAAGACATTAAACACAAGGACTGACTTTTGTTTAATTGTCTGAATTGTTTTTTTTTTTATTACATTTTACACAAAAATTCTCGCCAATGTTTTGCCTTGTTTACCTCAACAACAGGACTTTCCTGTGGCTTCTGGTCCGTTGCAGCCAGTGCACAGCCAGGTGTGGGAGTTTGTTCCTCTGAGCTCCCAGTAGCAGCGACAGCAGTGAGACTCTCCCTGATAGGTGGAGCGCTCAGACATCCAGGTGTGTCCAGAAACAGGCTCCCAGGGGGAGATGCCAGCAGCTTTCCAAAAGCTGCTCCTGATCGTCTGCAGCCCAGAGCTCCATCACTGCTAACTATGGGTGAGCTGTGGAAGGGAGTTATCTTTACTTTGGGTCTTTGACCACTCTGTGCTGCTTGTCCCTTGGCACCCACGGGTGTCCCCGCAGAGGGACTGGAGGGTCTTCTGCCTGGCCCAGGACCGTCAGAGGCTCCACTGTGATCCATTGCTGTCAAAAGTGGGCTGACTGCTGAATCCAGTCAGACTGCAGGGGGCCTCAGTAGGACTTGAGTCGAAACAAGTTTTACTCCGCTCTTTAAAACACACACACACACACACACACACAGAGAGAGAGAGAGAGAGAGAGAGAGAGAGAGAGAGAGCTCGTCTCAAGATTCAATAAGGAACTCTGTCCTTATTGATCAGTATATACACTTTTGCAACATTCTTCATGCAGGACATTAACAGTGCACCAAAAACTTTTCACATCTTTGCATTGCAACGAGGTTTAAAGACAGAAGAAAGGCAAAGCTCGGACCGGTGGTCCTGCAGTCAGAGCAGGGGCCCATACGAGACAAACGGAGAGCGTAAACACGTTACAAACACCCTAAAAGTTAACAATGAAAGGAGAAGCGGCTGAATTTCATCCTACCAGCTTTAGTCCGTCTATTGTAGCTGTAAACGAGCGATAGATGGACAGGAAGACGAGTTTCTACTTCCGTCCCCACCCGCACTGCGCGTGACGCGCTGTGTGCGCTGCTTCCATGTCCTCACTGACTCGGAAAGAGTTCAGCTACTAGTTAGCGACGTGTACCTACTGCCTACAGTAAGTAAGGACGGCGCGAACCAGCTCCGAATAATAATGTGAGATGCAAAGAATGTTAAAACCTTTGTAACATTTTAGACAAAAGTGTTTTCGCGGGTTAAATCGTGGGTTTAAAGCGAAAACGGAAGTAGGTAACAGTGAATCATCTTGGCATACGCTCAAAGATGTGCCATCTGCTGATGAGTTGGAGCAAATATTTCTATAGTCTACTAAATACTGGACATAACATATTACGTCTTCAATTCATATTAATACAAGTGAGAACATGTCTGAGGGATAATGATCTAATAACCCCACCACACACTACAACCAGTGCTTTGTGTGTATAAGGGCCCTGTAAAAAGAGAGCTACCAAAATATATATAAGGTAAAACATATTTTAACTGATTTGACCTTTACCATACTGGCCAGGGAGTGGCATTATCACACAATCCTCCACAGTCAATTCACCAGGAAGACGTACTTAGATCCCGTACATAAAAGTACCACATATACTGAAAGTACCACAAAATTAGCCTACTCTGTTATAAGTCCTGGTTTCAAATTTTTACTTAATTAGAAGTACAAAAGTATTACCATCAACATATAGCCTGCTTAAAATGCCAAAAGTACCCATAATACAGAATCTCTATTAGTTAAGGTTTAATTATTTGTGTATTATTGTGTTCATTTTAATGGTTAAGGTGGAGCTAATTTTAACTGCCTTATATGCATAGAATTGAAATGACTTTAAATACTGCTGGGTAGTTTGTGAATTTCCCAACAGAGAGCAGTAAAGTTTTATGATTTTACTGTAGGCTATTTTGTGTTTTTTACCTTATTCTGAAAAGTTGCTAAAGTTCTCAAATTAATGCAGTGGAGTAAAAGGTTCTGTAACCCTAATACTGAACCACTGAAATGTAGTCAAAGTATGAAGTAACAGAAAATGGAAATACTCAAGTAAATTACAAATACCTCACAAGTGTACTTAAGTACAGTACTTGAGTAAATGTGCCTAGTTCATGTTGATGGCAAGGTAAGAATTTCATTGTACAGGTAAACACATTTCCTAACTGTGCATATGACAAACATTTGGACCTTGACCTAGTTATTTTCCACTTCTACTACTCACTGTGACTGATAGTTATCTTGATAAACAATTGTTTTGTACACTGAGGGCTACTTTGATTTTCAGCTTTGAACAGTATGTTTGATAGACACAGATTATTACATATAATTGGTGGAAAAAGTATCAAAACCTTCACTTACAATTCCAAACAGTAGCCCCCCCCCATCCCCCGGAGGTTTCCACCTTTTATTTTGTTACAATGTTGAATAATCGTCACTAAAAAAAAATTTGACACAGATTAACAGAAAAGACACTTTCAAGTCAAAGTAAAATCAGATCTCTAAAAAGTGAGTACACTTATTAAAAAATATCAGATAGTAAATATTTGATTGCTTAAGCATTCACACCCTTTTAAAGTGACTCACCTAAACCATTACTGGTGCAGCCAAATGGTTTTAGAAGCTATACAATCAATCGCGATTCAATGTTGTAACAAAATGAAAGATGAAAACTTCCAATACTTTTTATAGGCAGTGTAATTAACAGCACAGTAGCCTATATTAAGGTAAAAAAAAAGTCAATTACTATTTCAGTATAAGTAATTCTATCAAAATTAATTTAAAACTATTCATTCTGCAGCAAATGGTTTAGTCCAATGAGGCCCAGGAGTCTTAAGAGTTACAAGATAAATTCTGAGGGGACTGGGAGAAAATTAATGAAGGACAAAAGAATAAACAATTCATTTTGCTATACGCCTTTGATTTCTTTATTTTCGAGTCTTTGCTTTGTTGTGAAACACTAGATATTGTCAGGTTTTGAGAGGTACATCTCTTCAGTGGATCTGGTAACAACTTATCTCAAACATGCCAAGGAGCCTCCATTAGACACTGCTTTTTTGGTAGGTATCATAAGCCAAAGAGGCTGGAAGCCACTGGTCCCATCTTCAATAATGTGCCAGTTGTTTTTCTTTTGTTATTAATTTATTCTTTCTTTAATCAAATCTTGTGAATAGTAACTACAGCAGTCAAATAAAGGTAGTGGAACAAAAAGTGATTATTTCCCTCAAGTAAAGCACACGTGCCACAACATTCTACTTAAGTTCTTGAGTCATGTAAATTTTAACATTACATACACTATGTGGTACAACTTTGGAAAACATTTTCAGTAACAATTTAACCTGTATATAGACACTGTACAATTTCTGTCTGGCTTTTCTATATACATTTTAGATATACGTAGGCATATTCTTTCCTTCTTGCCTCTACATATTATTTAGCTGTATGTATATATTTGTATTTACCATACACATACTTGAAGTATACAGTATATGCCACTATATACTTGGCTATTAAATTGTGATAATACAGGCTGTTTTTGCAGTGAGACACTGGCAGCATCACATCTCTGTCCTCCAAATGTAAGACGACTGTTAATGTAAGATGAATATTTGACCCTAGAGTCCAATTTGCCATCACAAACTGACCATGTTGTGATTGGCCCAATTATAAATATATTCTAAGCAACGCAACTACTAAAAAACACAAACACATGAACATAATCAATAATTAAAGTTACACCTCTTTTAAAAAGATCAACTGTGCTTCAGCAGAACAAAAACAACCCTTTACTTCCAGAGTAAGAAATAAACTATTTGACACAAGTGGTTTTAACAAATGTATTGGAATCCAGACAGCAGTTGGAAAACAGTCAAAACTATAAATAAATGTAATGCTTTTCTGCAAGTTTGATGAATTCAATTTGATCAAAAATATCAAAATGTATTTACAAAAGTTTGAGAGACCAAATAAAACCTCAAATCACAGTGATGTTGCATCATTGTACAACTGTTAAGACAAAGAAAGAATGTATGGCGTGAACCCAACCAACACATGTTCAGCTGGGGAAGAAGTGAGGAATAACAAACATGGCATTGATCTTAAAATGCTGAACTGGATCATGCATTATAGCCTTAAAAATCTGTAGGTAGATAACTTGCAACAGCAATATCTGGAAAGTTGATTGTCATTATAAAACTGAAAACTCCTGATCAACAGCAAAAAATATAACAAAAGTACAAACAACATCTTTCATCCAGGCTTAAACATTCAGTGTACAAGGATGATTTCACCTGTTTCCAATAAAAGTACTTCAGGTTTATGTTGAAAACAAAAGAAAAAAACCGACTAAATACTAGAGGATATTGGTTGTTTTTGCACAAAAACCTTCAAACTTGACATCACAGATGTCATTCATGTCTAAATAACCCACAACTAACAACTTGACTCCTCTTACAGTCCAAACACAAAACAACACTGTGTATTCTCTTTTTTTCTTTCCTTTCATTCAAAGTGCTAAAAACAAACACCAGGTTTAAAGACAGTGTTGATTTGCAGTGCCTGGTTTGCAGGAAAGAATAAGCTCCAATTGGGTTCTAAAAAGGTACTCGTTCACTGTGCAGCAGTAATTTCACAGTGATTTCAATCCAAAATGCTGATTCTTACATTTAGAAAAACTTCAAACTTACATTAAATCTAGAGGTTAAGATCGTACCAGCAGTCTTTATTAACAGGAAAGATGAACTGCAGTTTTAGTTCAACATTTTGGCTGATACGAGAGTGAAATGATCACCGTCGTGGTGGAAGTTCCTGGTTCTTCATCCACTTCATGTGTTGCAGGTTTCATCATAAGAAGGAGGAGCATCTGGAACATACAGAGACCATATGACCAGCTAATTAGTACACCAACACTCTGAAACATATCACGTTATCCACATGATGTCATCAGCAAGAGCATTAAACAGTCACAGCTGTATGAGACTGTGACTGGCAACAAGTCACTTTTAGTGCTGGACAAAAATGATGAGGCAGCTCTTAGTTTTATGTTCCAAACCCATAGTTTTAAATGTAAACTAAAACCATAAGTCATTAAATGTTACCATTTATTCATTGTTGTTACAACATATGTATTTAAATGTTTTATTCCTTTATATACCATTTGTCATCGTCTCTGTTCCTCTTTATCTAGTCTCCCTGAAAAAGTCCTCATTTTAATACATTTTATCTTATTTCATTTATTTATATATCCTTTAATTGTTAAATTGTGTCCATTAGTCTTATTGTTTATATTGTTTTCATTCATTCTGTCCATCAGTCTTTTGTAAACCAGTCTGAATAGCATGGCCCTGTATGAACAGTGCTATACAAATGTGTATTTGTATAGCACTGAACCTTTACTGTTAATATACTGCATGTTCAGAACAGCCTGCCTGTCTGGTTTCACTGTGCCTAACAGTGATGGTCACAGGTAATGGCTCATAGAACTTGGTCTGTATATGTCTCTTTACCACAAAGACCGAATTCTGTGCTTCAGGCTTTGACTATTGTTAATGTATAACATGGTTTTAGAACAGTAACTGCAAATAGGAGCGTTAACGGCTATATTGTTCTTAAACTAAAAAGCTAAATTGGCAGTACCTTATTCAGCAGTGAGTAATGTCTGGTGGTATTGCCTTCACCACTCAGGTGGTGGTCTACTGGACTGGACTGTACTGCATTACACTACTTAATAGTACTTCTAATGTTTTGTCCACCCCAATGACATACAAGGGACTTAACTTTTCCTTGACTCTGTGTTGTGGTAGAATTCCCTGCAGCTGTTTTTGATTGCATTAGATTATACAGGTGCAGCAAATAAAGAGGCCACTGAGTGCATCTGTGATATAATGGCTGGAAAGCAATGTCATGATATTAAATCTGTTAATATGCGACTGTGTTCACTGTCACTCTGCTATAAATGCAAGACTCTTGTCCATGTTGGAATTTTGTAGAAACAATGGCAGTTTTTCCCAGTGCCTAATGAATATTTTGACTTTTTATGTTTTGATCTTAACATGTGAACTAAAGCAGATAATGCCAGCAAAACTAGTTACAATTGTGATCTAAGGTCTGTTGCTCTTGGGTAATAAGTTTGAATATATTTAAAAGCCAACAAATCAGTAAACTACAGCCTCCTCCTCTATGTCCAAACAGCTCCACTCATGATCAGAGCCTGGATGGCACAGAATGAGTGTGTGCCAGCTGACCTTGTGGATAAGGTGAGATGTCGTAGGCTGGAGGCAGGAGGAGTGGTGTTGGCACTGAGATGGCCCCGTTGCCAGGGGGGTAAGGTGCTGGCATGCCTGTGGGCCCACAGGGTACAGGACCAGGCCCATTGTGCTGCTGGTTCTGTGCAAAAAAGAGGCCAGGAGCATAGCTGAAAGCGTTGGGTGACACGAGCTGAGACTGTCGCTTATTGGGGAAGCCATCATACATCTGAGTCCCACCCTCTGCTCCCTCACTGTACTCAGCTGGAGGAGCACTGGGGGAATTATAGGAGGACGTCTTGGAGCGAGGTTTTGGGGCAGGGCGGGGGGGCAGTGTGGGGGCAGTGGCAGAGGTCGAGGTGTCAGTGGTAGAGGCAGGGGCTGGGGTATCTTCAGCTGCAGCAGAGGGAGGGGGGGCTGCTGTTTTGGGACTATTATGGAAGATTGCTTTTTTTTGTCCAGAGAGATGTTGCCGATGTGGATGGGTAATGTCAATGTGACGTCTGGAGACTTTAGACTGACCTGATTGATCAGAGGAAAAGAGAATGTTAGTTTAACTTTCTGCTGAAATGCATCCTAATCCTATGTTTGTCTCTAACTGCTTTCTAGCAGATGCTGTTCTCATCAGAATCCAGCGCTCATAATGAAGAGAAGTATAGCACATTATAGTGCAGCCAGTCTGAAGAGTCCCCTACTGAGGTTTTACAGGAATTCACCCTGGACCATTGATTTGACAAGTATGCCTATAGAATATCACAAGCCCTTTTCAGGATATATTAAAATTATTTAATTTTCTGTTTGTAATTCATGAACATGAAGTGATCGATTTATTATCACACTTTAAACGAAGAGAACAACTGCACATGCATTTCATCTTGTGCTGCTGCAGCCTTGACATTTATGTGACAACAGTGCTGCTATGACTTTTTCTGTCGTGAAACCAACATGTAAACTTTCCATCACATTTACATTAGCGGGTGGATGACTGAAAGGCAATATGTTGATAGATATCCCTCACAAGTTATCCTCATTTGGCCCACTGTTTGTGTAACAATCAAAAACATGTCGCACTTTATCACTTCACAAGAAAATACTGGTGATACTGTAGCAGCAAATAAGCATATCTTACCTTTACATAATAGTCAATCTTTATCAGCTCACAGCCAGCGAGGGAGGACTGAGGAATAGGAGGAACGATGATTTGCTCCTTCCACTCCACCTCCTTGCCAGCCTTTACCACACCTCCCTCCACCTCCGCTATCATCTTTACATCATAGGTGGGTCTTTTCATCTCATAGGTTACTCTCTGAAAACATACGTGCACACTGATATTTGTAAACTGGACTCATTACATGATGACTAGGCAACAGAATCTTCACCAACAAATGTAAAAATGCAAGGATTTATTACTGTACCCTTTACCAATACACAAGAACTGTTGTCTGAAGTTTCATTTATGAATGTGTTTCTATATTTTTACTTAATCTTAACAAATGTTTTGACTACCTAGCTGCAGCCCAAAAATTTGTTAGTAAAACACAGTCATATTATTACTTTATAAAGTTGATATGATTAACATATTAGCAAACAACTATACTAATTACTCATTCAGCAGACACAGAGAAACATAAGCACTTATGTGGAGTCGTGCTTCAGACTAATATTCACTCTTGTTTTCCCTCAGTTTTAGCTCTTTACCAGCTTCTGAAGAAATAAGACTCTTTCTTTAGCTGCTAAATGTTCCACTATGTTCACCAGCTACAGAGTATCTCCAAGTCTGACTTTCTGCTATGTCATCATGTGCAATGGGTTTATCAGCACTTTTTCACTGAAAACAGCTGCCTGCTGCTGCTGGAAATGAGGGTCCAAAGCAGCACAGTCAGACGCATATAAACACACACAGTTACATGAGCCCTGCCAAAGAGATAGGCTAAGGATAATCACCTTTATTGCAAGCATTAGCATTACATGCACCATGTTTAAACACACAGCTGACTGGAGGAGCAGCCCCTCCCTCCTCTAAACAGAGACCAACAGAGAGAAAATATAGTGGAAAAACAAAGCAGGATGGCTCACTTCAACACAGGAGACTAAACTTGGTGATGGTTAAAAGAAGTACGGGGTGTATCACTCATTATGTTCCAATAGTGGAAACACAGCATATGACTACACTGTACCTATACCATGCTTACCCAGATATCTCACCTAGTATTTACATTTTTCTTATTGTCAGCAAAGTCAAAGCACCAATGATTGTATCCTAATGAGAACTACTGGGTGTTTTCAGATCCTAATCCTATGTGCCATGAAAACACATCACTAAGCCACACTGATGCACTGGGTAAAAGTTTAACTATGCAGCAGCAGAAATTTGTTTCACTAAAATAGAAAACCCAGCAGCAGAAAATAATACAGTAATAAATTCATAAAATCAATACATTATAAAATAATTGTGAAAAATACTGGATTAGTTTTAAGTAGTAAGTAAAAGTTTATTTATATAGAACTTTTCTAAACCCAAGTTACGAAGTGCTTCACAATAAAAGAAAAAAAAACAATAATAATAAATGGGACAGCATATTTAGAAGAGAGAGACACAATAAAACAAAACCAAATATAATAACAATAACAAACAAACAGAACAAAAACAGGTAAATCACAATGGAATCCACAAAAATAAAATAGGGACAGAGGCGCCCTATCAGGGTCAGTGATGAATGCCTGCCTAAATAAAACAGCTTCCAAAAGAAAACGAATCTCCAGCAGCAGGCTCTTCCACAGCTTAGGAGCTGCCACCACAAAAGCTTGGGCACCCCAGTGTTTACGTCCAGATCTAGGGACTTTCAAAAGCAACTGATTTGAAGACCTAAGGGACCTAGCTGGTGAATACCAATCTAAAACCTCTGAGACATATGAGGGTACCATAGGGTGCCAAGCTTTAAAAACAAATAATGAAATCTTAAAAGTAATCCTCAAACAGGTAGGAAGCCAAGGGAGGGAGGCCAAAATCAAAATACATGTATTAGTTAAAAGACAAGCTGAACTATCTGAAAGCAAGACAGAGAAGCCTGAGAAATCACAAAATAGGCTTAGCCTTAGCCAAACGTCACAGCTAAAAGAAACTTGTTTTAACCACCAAACTGACCTGCTTGTCCAACTTAAGGGCACTATCAAAGCACCCCTAGGTTTTTTTTTTGTTTTTTTTTTACTTGTGGCAACGGAATAAGGGCACAGTTATAAAACCACCCTATTTTCATTAATATGCAGAATGTTTAAAGATAGCTATGTTTTTACATCACGCAGGCAATCAAACAAGGATGATAATAGGAAATTCTTCTTCCCCGTCACAGGTAAATAGATTTGAATATGATCGGCGTAGCAGTGAAAAAAAACAGCCTGTACTTCTTAAAGATAGGACCCAATAGAAGTAATTCTAACAGAAACAAAACTTGACCAAGGACAGAACCTTGGGGACTCCACATGTAAGGGGAGTGACAGAAGAAGAGTAATCCTCAATACAAACAAAAAAACTCCGATCAAACGAATAAGACTCAACCATTTCAAGGTGACAACGCAAATACCAACATGGTTTTCAAGACATTGCAGCAAAATATCATGATTCACTCTATCACTGTAATAGATCCTGAGCCTGAACATAACCTGGCCCTTGCAGGTTTGGTCGAAGCTGTAAGAAGTGCTTACCTGCATCAAGCTAGCTGCCATGTTGCCTGTGGTTTTCCCAGATTCGTTGTGGATGCCGACTATCACCTGGATGACCTGGCCTGGTGTGTAGCCCTTCATGTCAGTCTGGGCCTTCAAAACCACTGTGCCTGTTTTCATCAGCATGTAGGTGAACTGCTGGGTCACTGCAGATGAACAAGTACCCTGCACAGCAGCACATCACATTTGGACATTAAAATATTAAACTTTTAACTCCCAGTTAAACCTACATGAATGTAATATCAACTGAATTTCTCAATGTAATAGTTCCAAATCAGGACCTTCAGTATTTAGAGCAAGTAACTCATGACAAATAAAATGTGCCAAGTCAGTGGTCTACAGCTGTTATTTTAGTGTGCCATGTGCTTATTTACTCAGCACTTCATTATCATCATTAGGTGTATAATGATCCTGAACACAAACCGAAAAAACGCAGTACAATACAAAAACTGAAAAACTGATACCCGATGACAAAAACCTCAACCCCCCACCCCAAAAATTCTACCCTATAGCCACCGCTGCCTTTTGAGCAAGCATTACATTAGTAATTTAACAATATTCATCTTTCATTATTAACACTATAACATGCAAGTCAGCAGTGTTATTCTATGCAAAGTTATTGTTTAGTATTCATTTCTTTAGTATTTCCAATTGTTGGTCATTTAATAAAACCCAGAGAAGTTTGCCCTATTTTTATGTATCCCCCCCAAACAAACCCTCTGTCACCACTGTTTAAAATGGCATTCAGTTTGATGAGAGGTGCAAACAACTTGTTTTGGTCCAAAAAAAAGTCCAAGTCTGTTAATGTAGGGCTCAAATGAACAAAACAATGATTGTGGATGTGTTTTTGAAATCTGAAGGCCAGCATGTGCCTCATGTATTGGTCTAATAAAAGACTGACACATATACACACACATCCAATCGAGTCTCACCCATATGTCTGGCAGTTCATTGAGGTTCAGAAGGCTTAGCAGGAAAAAAGGTTTCTCTGTGCTATAATCCTTGGCAAAGCGCGGCGTGTCAATAAAAGCCCTCACTCTGTAAATGATCCGACCATAGCTGCCTTCAAAAGATGTCGGAGCAGAGGCTGTGGGAATGAAATCAAATAGATATTACTTTTATCACTTAACAGCAAATACAGAATCATAGATCAGAGCAGTTAAAACAAGGTTATTTGATAGTGGTACGTTACAGCCAATAATTACGGTTTACTGAATACAAGACTTCTTAACCTTTCAAAAGCTAACAAATAGCCAGTGATTTTCCAGATTTTTAATGTAAACATAAAAGCAAGACTCCAGAAGAGTGCCCTGATACAGTGAAAGCACAACCACGTTGTGACAGAAAAGTAAAAAGACTGGTCGGTTTGGTTTTGAGTTTCTGTGATGTTCCTCTTCAGACTGTGGAGAAGGCTCTACCTGGAAAACTAACCTCCAGCAGTGCCATGACAAAGGCCAAACACAAGAAAAGGGTCTGTTCTCACATACTCAAGACAAAGTGACAGCTGAAGGCATCGCTCTGGAGACATCAGGTCACAGGAAGCAGCGTAACACACCCTTCTTTCCTTTCATTCAAAAGCTCCACTTCACATTTTCAGGAAGTGTTCTCATTTTCATTCTCTAAAATGCCTTCATTGGCTGAACAATTGTCAGCTTTGTTGAAATTCAAATGAGGGACAAAATCATGTAAATACATTATAATATACTGAAATCAGGTAGAACACCAGCACAAGATACAGGGTGGGCCACAGAAAAGTAGCCTGCTGCCAATACTGTGTTAGGAGCCAGGTACTTGGGGCTCTGGGCTACTTTTCTGTGGCCCACCCCGTATAACCTTAAAGGAAATATTGTCACAGTTTTACATTATGCAGTTTGGACAACACTGTATTCACTGGAGTAAAAACTGAGATTTGGGAACAGGCTGACGTCACCATAATAATGCCAGTCATACAGGCTGTAAACAAGCCAAGTTTATTTTAAAAGGTCAAACTGGAAATGGGTACACTGAAATGTTAGTCATAAGCATCACTGCAATGGAACTATGATAAGTATGGTAGGTCAAAGATGAAGTAGAAAGTGATTCTTTAAATTTTGGATGTTTTCAACAGGTTAGGTCATGTGTGACCTGCCGGACATTTCATTTCAACCTGTCTGGTTAACTCACTGCTGGTGTTTCTTGCCCATCTGACATTTTTGTGATGTTACTGTGTTTCCAGATCACCGCAATTAGTTTGGTGAGTACAGTATACTCATAGGAATGTTAGACAACACTATGAAAATAAGATCCACCTTATGATACAACAGAATCACTTCTTTGTTCAACCGCTGTATTCACATAGCCTGTCATGCAAGGAACAAGTAACCCAGTGGTTAGAAAGCGATTATACTCAAAAGCTGCACGAATTGATATGTTGTTGGTAGCAGTGAAATAACCTGTACACATCAATCACATTATAAAGCTGTTAAGGTGAACATGAAGGAAACAGTTCACACCTCCAGCAGACACACATCAACATCAGCATTCATATGAAGTCATGTCCATGTCCACCTGATGAATCCAAGTCCCATATTCCCTCTCCTTTTAGCTCTGCTTTGGTCTCTGGTTGCAGAGAAAATTTTGTGTTTCACTGCTACATAGCCCACCATCTTCACCAGGAATCTCTAAATGTATGTGATAGTGATGCGCAGATCTTTCCTGAAATAAATACTTCTTATCCCAACATTTCCTGTTCTAGATCAGTTATCAGATTAAAAGACCAATTATCTTTGTTCAAAATAAACACACTTCGATTATGATGCTGCAAAACATTCCGAAAAAAGTTGGACAGCTGCATTTCAGGGCCAGTAATAATATAAAACAATGAAATGATGACTCCATTTGAAACAGGTGATGTCAACAGGTGACTGTGTCATGATTTGGTACAAAGGTGGCATCCAGGAAAGGCCGAGCCCTTTAGGAGCAAAGATGGGCCGAGGACCAGTTTGACAACATATGTGTGAGAAAATTATTGAAATGTTTAAAAACAATCTTCCTCAGATAAAGATAGGAAGGGATATGGATATGTCACCATCTGTGGTGCAGAACATAATTAAAAAGTTCAAGTTATCTGGAGGGATTTCAGTGTGTAAAGGGCACAAGCCTAAGCTGGATGACCGGGCTCTCTGATACATTAATGGGACATTAATGTTGAAAAATGCAGAGATTTTGGAGCAACACATGCTGCCTTCAAGATGATGTCTTTTCCAGGGACACACATGCATATTTCAACAAAACACTGCAAAACCTCATACTGCCACATTACCAAGGCCTGGCTATGTAGGAAAAGGGTGCGAGTGCTGGACTGGTCTGTCTGCAGTCCCGACCTGTCCCCAGTAGAGAATGTGTGGAGCATTTTGAAACGCCAATTGTGTCAACAATTGCCGTTGTGCACCTTAAGACTTGTTAGCAGGAAGAATGGGACAAAATGACACCTGACACACTGAATCACTTGGTGTCCTCAGTCCCTAAACATCTTTTAAGTGTTGTGAAAAGGAACAGAAAAGGAACTTTTATCACAATGTGTTGCAGCATCAGAATTGAAGTGAATGTTTATTTTAAACCAAGAATAAAATTGATGCAGTATCACATCAAATAATGTGCTGCTGTGCTGTTTTCTGTTCTTTACCAAAACAGTGAGCTAAAGTGGTTAAAATATCTGTTGTGTTGAGGAGAACTGATCATTCTCTGTAGGGTCTTTACCATGAGGGAATCCCCTTCACACTACATCATACAAACATCCACTGTTAATATAAACATCCTGATTAGAGCAGCTTAAAATTGCTGCAATTTCATGTTAATCTAAACCCATCAAATTCAAAGTATGACTACAACACATTTGGCTGGTTCAAACATCCTGTAGTGCAATGTTTCACCCCATTAAATGATGGGATAAGAGTCCTGTTCTCACTGCTGCTCAACCATAACACAATTAGCATAAATATCAACATGTCTGTCAGGTGCAAAACAACAAATGTGAGGGCAAAACAAACACACACACACACACGCGCACGCGCACACACACACACACAGTCAGAAAGAATAGGAGGCAACAAGTATAATTTGCATCCCTACCTGGTATGAGAAACTTGAAGGGAAAAGTGTGTTCTCCCTCTTTCAGGGTTCCTGTATGGGACACAGAGAACACAGATAATATCCATCAGTGGAAACATTAACAATGGCCCTGCTGTTTCCCAAAAGGCCTCAGGGCTGCATATGGAAAACGGTAATCTTCAGTGCTACAGTTTTTGACCTTGAATTACTGTTGCCACACTGTTTTATCTATGCATCATAGAAAACAAAACTAATGTATTGTTTGAAGATCCGTCTAAAAGCTTTGTGTGTGGCTAACTGTTTTACTTAATACACTGTGGTATCTCCTGTGGTAAATGAAAGTATGCGAGGCCAGTTCAGGCTCTCTGATCCATGACTCTATGCGAATTATCCTGCTGTGTTAAGCTATACCTATCTGGTATTAACTGCAGGACAGATTCAACTCTTTGTATCAGTTTTGTAGTTAGCATGTACGTATACCTTTGTCTGCAAGAGAGAAGGTGCTGTTGAAGTACTGCTCCTCCATCATCCATGCCAAGTCATTTACTTTATTGGTGATGCCACAGAAGCCATTGCAGTTCACTTTGATGGCTGCAGGTAAGAATACATAAAGTCAAGTATTTAGCCACAGAGACATTTCTCAGCACCTGCAGCATTAAAACACTTGTCATGGGCAAATTATGTCAGACAGTCATTAACTTGTTTCACAAGTATTACACTAAATCTCAGAGAAATAGAAATGAACAGAAGAGATGACTGCTAGTAATATGAAACCTCACACTCTTGTGGTTATGTAACCAAAAAAAAAACTGTCTAAAGACTGAGGTTATGCAGGGAAGCTTGTTTAAATCAGCCATATTATAGACGAGCATTACTCCTAGTAAAGTAGGCACGAATAAAACCAGCAGCAAGGAGTTGTAGGCAACGAGGAGTTCTATTCTTCCTTCTAGCATTAGGGCTACTGGGACATTTCCAACTGTTGAATAAACATGAAACTTTCATGTGTGATCATCATCAGTGCAAGCACAAAGTTCAATGGTGACAACAAGGCAGTTTGAAGGTTCCAATTATCACTGTGGTTTGTCTGTCTGCCAACCACTGCGTTTTGGATCAATGTTTTTGTCTTAACTGCAGGAGCTAAAGGCTACGTTGAAGCTAATCAGAATCTGTACATAAGCTTTGATCAACAATGCATTTTAGTACCTTTTATACCTTTCTAGGTGTTTCAACCTCATAAGCAAGAGGATTTCCAACTGTTGAATTTTAAAGACTGTGAATAATGGTGATTTTTATTGACAATATTTTGTGTCATGTACATATAAGTGCCCAACACTCCTTAGAATTACCATGATTCCTGTTGCTTTCTTTAATTGGTTTTTACCCAGTCACTGTCTTAAAAATGTATTTCTGTACTGGGAAGCAAAAATGAGCATGAACAGAACCATTTCAAACTGAAAAATGAATGTGAGAATTCAAGATTTGGAAAAGAGCTGGGAAATGTGCATTAGCTTTAGACTGATGGGTTTCAAGGCCACTCTCCAACAGTCAATGTTTTGTGCCTAAATGCATTTACATTCCATGATCAAAAACATACAGGAGGACAGGTGAACATTACACCACAAGCCACGGGACTAATGTTACAACAGCCCTACTGATCTGCATGATCTGATCTGGTTTCAGGCTTTCCAAGAGATTGTAGGGCCTGGCTGCAACAGAGCTGTGAGGTCCAACACCAATGTTGAGTGGGGGTGAGGTCAGGGCTCTGTGCACCTCAGTCAATGTCTTTCATACCAAACTGCTAACCATTTCTATAAGGACATGTCTCTTTGTGCCGGGGGAGGGAGTATTCTATCATGTTAAAACAGAAAAGGGCCAAACACAAATGGTTGCTTGCCACAGAGTTAAAAGTAAACTGACTTATAAAATATCCTTGCACAGCATCAAGATCTCCTTTCAAGAAAGAAAAGAATAATGAGCTCCATCCATGAAAAACTGAGCCACATAGGCTTGTTTAATTAATAAATTTCAGTCTAAAAACTATATAAAAGCACTTTTCAGTGTTTCTTTATTCTAGACTTTTGCAACAGTCCTCTAGTAATCAGTGACTACAGTGGCTCAAACACATTTTATTTTTAAATACAATGTCAATATTTGCCCTGACTTATGTCTGTTATCTCACGGCCCAACCCACGTCATGAACCACCAGTGATTCAGACTGTTGCATGATGAGAGAGTTTGTTTCCTGGGAGGCGACACTGTGAAGCGGACAGTCTGACCAGCTCTACCTGAACAGGAATGTCAACAAACTGGAGAGCCCACAAGCATTCAAACAGAAACTCCCAGACATACAAACCTGCTCTCAGTAGGCTGAGAGTTGCAGGGAGAAGGAGAGAGAAGTCTTAAGAATGATGTCATGGAGAAAATGTCACTTAATAATTAGGGCAACATTTGTACTAAAGGCCCTTCATAAATGGGCATTTATCCTCCTGAAGATGAAGAGAAACATGTTAATAACTTGCAAAATGTTGCTCTGATGGTGAAATGGCATTTAGATGATACATTTCTTTCTTAGTGATAATAAAGCAAAAATAAATAAAAACTTAAAAAACTGACAGTGGACTGAAAACAATATGCAAAATAGTGCATTTGTAATGTATGCACTCTCTCTTTTCCTGACACTGTTTTGTATTCAAATGTGTCCTCTACCATTTGACACTTTTACATAATAAAAGCTGCTGAGGCTTCAGAAACAACATTTAGATTAGACGTTCTGAAAGAGAAGTGCTGTTGATGTTCAGTTGCAGTTCGTGGTTATAGGCTACTTGATAAAGTTAGTAAAGCAGGCCCTGTATTCCCAGGAGAGTCATTCAGTTAAGAACAGCATTTAACACTTATTTTTATTACTGAATAAAACAACATTTCTAGAACATTTATATGCATTTAGTGTTAATTATTTACCTATATAACGTCAGAAAATGACCATTTAATCAATAACAAACTTACTGCTTCAATTTATGGGTGCAACAATTAAGGTTTTTTGTTTGCTTGGTTTTTTGCAACACAAAATAGGATATTAATAGGACAGAACATAGAAGACAAGATAATAGATACAGGACATTTACTAAAGTGAAGCAGGCGGCTTTTCGTGCAACGATTCACTGATAAACTGATCAGATGATCAAATAAAAGTTTGATTAGTATGTTTCCAAATGTGAGAGTTTGGTGCTTTTCCTCGTCTTATATTATAATAAATGCATTCTCTTATTTATTCTGGACTGTTGACTGGATTAAACAAGACATACAGTATGAAACTCCTATGGATACTTTTCAGTGCTCTCTGGTGTTGCATAGATTGAACAAGTGGGCAGATTATTTATTAGTAATAAATATTTGTTAGTTGCAACATTACTTCCTTCATACATTTAGATCTATAAAAGTGAAGTCCTGTTAGTAGATGAGGGCTGACTTTGATAAACCTAACTCCTGTTGTCCAGCAACTGTAGTAAACACCTGTCTGATCTGATACAAGATCTGCAACAGGTGACAAACTAAACCGTCTCCAATGTCTTCCTGGCCTGTTGTTCACAAAGAGCATGGTCATGAAGGTTTTGTCGAGTTCAGAGAACTTAACGTTGGAAAATGAACAATTGTTGTAATTGAACTGAACAAACACAGCCCATTGTTGTTGTGTGGTCACTGGTCAAACACTGCTGGGGGAGGGGGACATGGACACGTGAGCTCATACAGACTTATGGTAACAGATGCCACTCAAACTTCCCATTCGGTCGCATTCAAATCTCTCAGTAGAAGCCACAGTGAAGAGCAACTTAGCAAAGTTATACTCAGGTTGTGTTGTAGGAATGAGTTCACAGTGCCATAAAACAGCCATTTTAAAGTCAAACACAGACACTAGGTCTACCACACAGTGTCGGGCCAACATTAAAGTGGTTTTCAAACATAAGAGCTCGTTTCCAAAGTGAAATCATAGTATAATAAGCAGAGGCTAAATTATACCCCATGTAATCTTAGTAAGCCCCTCACTTCCTTGTTTGTTGTGTGTTCCCCACCAGGTGCGCCATAATACCTGCGGCAGCCTTTTAACAGACTCTTACCTTTACACAGCAGCTGTTGGCCCAGTTTGATCGTCACGGTCCCAGTGATGGACTCGCCCGGACTGTACACATCCTTGTTTTTGTCAAACGCGATCTGAAACGCCTGAAGTTTCCCCATGTCTTCGCCAGCGACACTGAAGCTCACCTGTGAGCTGAGCACGGACAAAACACGCACTTTCGCCGCTTTCTATTCCCGCCCCTCCTCGTGACATCACTGACTTGTCCCAGATGACGACGAACAGGTGTAGAAACTCTGGAAACTTGTTTGGACTTATTTCGTTTCATTTAATTTTATTCTGTTGGGATACTTGTTCTGACCAGATATTCCTAAATTAAAACTTGAGAGCAGAAACCAAACTTTTGATCTTATTTTCTAGCTCTAGCAGTGAAAGCATAACATCTAGAAGTTTTACAAGGTTTTTATTCAATTTTTTTTTCTTCTTAGGCTATCAATCCTTACTGTCTTATTATTATAAGGTGTAGGATAACTGAAAACTCTAATTTGCCCATGAGAGTGAGTTGTTGTCAAGGACTTACCCCACCTCTGGGACAGGCTCCTTCTCCATGACCGCACACACACAGGTGCGCCTCAATAAATTAGAATATTGTGGACAAGTTCATTTATTTCAGTAATTCAACTCAAATAGTGAAACTCGTGTATTATATAAATTCAGTACACACAGACTGAAGTAGTTTAAGCCGTTGGGTCTTTTAATTGTGATGATTTTGCTCACATTTAACAAAAACCCACCAATTCACTATGTCAATAAATTAGAATATGGTGACATGCCACTCAGCTAGTCAACTCAAAACACCTGCAAAGGTGTCCTGAGCCTTCAAAATGGTCACTCAGTTTGGTTCAATAGGCTACACAATCATGGGGAAGACTGCTGATCGGACAGTTGTCTAGGAGACAATCATTGATACCCTTCACAAGGAGGGTAAGCCACAAACATTCATTGCCAAAGAAGCTGGCTGTTCACAGAGAGCTGTATCCAAGCATGTTAACATAAAGTTGAGTGGTAGGAAAAAGATGCACAACCAACTGAGAGAACCGCAGCCTTGAGAGGCTTGTCAAGC